AGCTGCTTACTGAGTTCTCACCGCTGAGTCAGTGCCCTCTCGCCGGTCCTACAGAGACACGGAGACTCCCGGTGCCCCCAATAGGCCCTTCAGTTCCGGGGCATGTTGGGTGCCCCTGTAGGCAGGCAGTTTGGGGAAGGGCCCTGATGCTGTCACATTACTGATCTCTTCTTTCATCTGTTCCTTGTCTCCCATCCTGTTCCTGTTCACTCTGGTTTTCTTCTGCTACCCTCTTAATCCTCTCTCTCTCTCTCTCTCTCTCTCTCTCTCTCTCTCTCTCTCTCTCTCCCAACCCCACATTAATTCTCTGCCCTGTTTCTTCCAGTTCTGGGCCAAGCACACCACCCAAAGAACAGAAAATGAAACTGCAATTTCAAATCACCATTTCAAATCACACTTGTGAAGTCCCCATCCCTGCCCAGTGCCGCAGGCTGGCAGGGATTTCCCACCAGAGAAAGCCAGACAAAATCCCCCTAAAGGTGATTATGGGCCTCCACCCTCCTGGACGGTCCCCGTGAAAGCAGCAGAGTGCAGAGGTGTCACCAGAAAACGCCCACAGCCCTAAAAACACCAAGGTGTCCCTTCACCGTGAGATCTGCACATTGGGTGCACAGAAGCAAGGAGCCAGGTCAGCCGGGCACCCGGAGAATAGGCCCAGAGGGTCATTCTAAGTCCCCACAGTTCTAAAGATGACATGAAGTTTTTAACCTGTGCCTGGTGATCTGGCCTGGCTTCCCCCCTATTCTCTGCTTTCCTTGTTTCCACCACAGAACCCCAAAATCCGGGAGCAGGAATCCCTCCAAGTCACCCCAAGGGCCATGTTCTCCCACCTGCGTGCTTTCTGCAGCTTCCTGGCTGGAAGCCAGTCCCTCCCCCCCCTCTCACCCCTCCCTCTCACGGCCCCCTCCCTCTCAGCCCTCCCTCTCACCTCCCCTTCTCCAGTGGCCCCAAAATGGCACCTGGTTTTCTGCGAGGCTTACCTAGACAGTCTTTGTCTTGAAAAGATGCTTGACTGTCCCACACTCATGCTCAGCCCAGCTTACCTACCCTCCGCACCCACCACACCGCCAGAGGCAGAGTCGGCTCTCCCTCCCACTGGGCTCTCTGACCCCAGGACGCCATCCTCACCCCATCCTCACTCGGGCTTGAAGTGACTCTGTCACCTGCCCATGACCGAAGCAACAGGAACTGGGACAATCCAAGCTGTGGTGTTGTAATGACACACATTCCTGACAGAAGGGGTTTCATTCAGTGGGGGGTGCAGTTCTGGGAAACGTGCTTTGGGTTCAGCGGGGCCAACCCCCCAGCAGCCTGCCACCTCATAACCCCGGCCTGGAGCTGCTCTGTCCTGACCTACAGTCACCTCCCTCCCCAGCCGCTGTCTCACTCTCTCCCTGGGCACCGGGAGAACGGACCGCCTACACTGGAGGGTTATCGGCTGAAGGTTCAACAGAGACGCCAACCCCGAGGCCTACAGCCAAAAAGGACTGTGCCCTAGGGCTGGGAAATGGGGGGAGGTGTCTCTGGGCAGATGGCTCATCAGTCCTCCACATCCAGAAAAGGAGCCGCTAATACAGGATGGTGAGAACACAACTCTCCCCAGGGTATCACTCGGGGTACTGACACCATCTCGTAATGCTGGTTTCAGGAGGTTAAAACTGTCAAATGGATGAGGTAGTTGTGAAAGGAGGAGAGGAGACACTGTGCCATGTTAGAGGGTGTGGGTGGCTCCACCTCACACTGTCCCCTCCAGGAGAAACAGCTGTCTCCACATACAACCCCTGGGATCAGCACCGATTCTCCCTAAAAGGCAGTCCAGTGGAGCAAGCCCAGTGTAGGTGCGCAGGGAGCACTGCTGGAGATGTGCATACTTTTAATTTCAAGAGTCATTAGTGTCCATTGCATACAAGAGCCAGAAGAAGGTGGAAATCAGGGTTATTATTCCTCTGAGGAATCTACTTATATAAAAACCATGGGTGGTGTTCATCATATATGGACGAACAGCCAGCAACCAAGCGGAAGGAAGTGGGTCCTACGGGGGTTGTCTGGGCAAAGGCTGCACCCTCCCCCAAGCTGTTTCCAGGAGCTGTTTCCTGTAAGGGCGGAATTTGAGGCAGGAACCCGCCCTGGGAGCGTGGAGGCAGATCTTTCTCAAGTGTGCCACGCCAGCACGGGGTGAACCTGAGTGGGGCGGCTGAAGGCTTAGAAAAGACAGACAAGAGAATGAAAGCTGGGTCTCCGTGGGACACTGCTTCTCTGAGAGACATCGACCATGCCCACAGCCTCGCCTTATTTTATAGCAGATGCTAAGAGGCAAAGTAAGGGTGTGACCAAGATGTTTACAAACATTCTCCGGGTTTCAATCCTACTCAACTACATGCACCTGAACCAGGGGTGGGCAAACTTTTTGACTCGAGGGCCACAATGGGTTCTTAAACTGGACTCAGAAGAAGGAGCTATGGCTGTGTTTCTCGACGTTGCCATGTTAACACTGCTGCTGGTGAAGGAGCGGAGAGGGGGAGAGCAAGAGAGCCCTCTCCTCTTCAGGCTCCACGGGCTGGATAGAACAGCCGAATGGGCCCACGGGCCGTAGTTTGCCCACGGCTGGGTTAAACTCAATTTACTACATCACAATGCACCTTTTTTTTTTTTTTTTTTAAGTAAACGAAACAGGAAATAATAGAAAATGTAAGAGTAAAGACAGTGTCATGAAACATTCTTTGCCACTGGCTGCAGTCAAGAAGCCAGGAGCCCACAGCCTTGTCTAGGCTCTGCTGTGCAGATGAGGAAAACAGGCCAGGAGGGAGGCAATGTGTTGGGATCTGGGGCCCAAGTCCCATTTGTTGTGAAGTCAATGCCTGGGCATTCCAGGAGATCAAACATGAAGAGTTGCTCACACGCACATGAGCAGGTATCCGTCTTCTCCTCACATGGGGCCAACGACAGGGGCCCCGACAGGGACACAGTCCTCTCCTCTGCACTCCAACCTGACCTGGGCGGCTTCTTCCTTCCAACCAGCAGTGTTTCCCAAACACAGTGAGAGGACAGTCCACCCGTCGCAACATCAGCGCTGGGCATGCTGCCGGGGAGCCTTCCTGAGCAATGTCCCCCACTCACTCCACGACAGTTAAGGTGATGAGTGCGGTTTCTGAACTTTCAAATAATTAACTTGAGGTGAGTCCCCAATTTTGAAGTGCCTAACTGCAGCCTGTACAAGTAAAGTTGATTCAAGGTCAGCCATGCGCTCAGGGAAAGAAGGTCACAGAACCACATTCCATGGATCTTCGCTCACTACCAGGGGGCGGCTCTTTTACAGCCTTGGAGACCTGCTACAGATGCAGAAATTC